TGCAAACGCCAAGATCTACGACAATAGCTTCAAATCCTTAACCACCGACGATCATTCATGGATTCGTAGAAGCCGCGAAGCTCCTTATGATGTTGCCTCTTCAGAACATTCTCCATCTTACGCCAGCTTCTTAGAATCACGAAGGAACCATCGAGCAGCATTCGACTCCTCAGATTCCGTCAAACCCAAAGACTGGTTCTTGTTTTCGGCCAGCAAGAAGGTTCCAACTGAAAACAAAAATTTCAAAAAAGTAGTATCACCATTCTACACCATCACTGACAAAGATTCCCAAAAATACAAGGACATGGTGATGAAATCTGGCGTTCCATATTGCCAAGAGATCAAAACCAGGCGTGTTAATAAGGACAGCAATGCTAAAGACAGCACGATCTGCTACAAATGCAAAAATCCTAAAAATGGAGCCACCTACGAGCAATGCTCTTACGCTTCACAACCTTCCACTGATTCTGGCAACATTGAACAAAGTTCGACAGGGTTCAGAAACAGGAGATCCAACTCTGACGAGGCGTTCTCCGGTTTCAAAGATTACAGAAGAGATGACAATCCATACAGGTTCAACGACAAGATATTTTCAGAGGCCACAGACGATGTTCCAGCAGAGTATAAGAACAAAAATGAAAAATGTGAAAAGGTAATCAAGGATTCCATGATGTGCATGGTATGCAAAGATATGAAGAGTAATGCTAAATACGAGCAATGCACCTATATTAGGCAACCGGCAGAGAAGAAATATTCCTATACCAAATCTGGCTCTCTTAAAAATCCTAAAGAAGCTGAGAAAGACGATAAAGAAAGTGGAAAAAGATCTAATAGAAAGTATTTTGAGACTAAACCAGTTAAGGAAGAATATTCCAGTTCTGAGGATAAAGAAGAAACAGAAAAAGAATCTCGAGAAGAATACAAAGACTCGACCAGCAATTGCAAGAAGATTCAAAAAGATTCGAAGACTTGCACGGTCTGTAAAGATCCCAAAACAGGTGGAAATTATGAGAGATGCTCGTATGCCTATGAACCAAATGATAAAGTTTATAAATTTAGCAGAACCAAGAGTTTTGGATATCCTACAAGTTCTTCCAAAGATGATGATTCTAGTGAGTCCAATCAAGAGGAAGAGAAGAGATCTAAAAGCGAACTTGAGGAATACAAGAGAGACTATTCCATTCCTGAAAGCTATTATGACAAAAGTCACTCCTCTCCATTAACTTCTTACTTCAAGGATGACGAACCTAGATCCAGTTATCGTCAAGCTGCTTCCCAAAACTCTAAGTTAATCTCTGACGACGATGATTATTTATCTGGCTATGAGAAATCTAAGTCAGAATCTGAAAAAGTTGCCAAAAGTATCGAACCGAGCCACTGCAAAGAAGTTCAAAAAGATTCCATGACTTGCAAGATTTGCAAAGATCCTAAGACCGGAAGCAATTCTGAGCAATGTTCGTATAAATATCAACCAAGCGATAAAAGTTACTCTTATTCGAAATCTAGATCAATTGGCAGCCCAACAGAATCAAATGACAAATCTTACGATGAATCTGAGAAGAAAGAGACTCAAAAGTTGCCCTACGAAAAGGAAGGTTATGATTACTCTTCTGATAAAAGTTCCTACATTACCGATCAAGCTACCAAAAGAGAATTTCCAACTTCCGATGAATCCAAATCTGAAAGATCATCAAAATCTGCTCCAAAAAAAAGCGATGTAGGTTTCTACGATGCATTTAAGAAGAAAGAGGAGATCCAGAAGGTTCTTCAGGAATTTCAAAAGGAAGATCGTTCCAATTGTAAGAAATTAATGAGAGATAAAATGACTTGCTATCAATGTGTCGACGATAAAGGATTCAAAAAAGAGGAATGTGCTTTTGTGACTTCAGAAGAACCAGCTGAGGATAAAATTGATTATCGAGAAGCGAAAGAATATCATGAGGAACCGACCAAAAAGATTCCTAGGTCGGTTATTGAAAATCTGGATGATGTACCTATTGAACCAGAAGCTGCTGCCAGTGAGAAGGTCTATGTGCAACGAGAATTACCACCTAACAAGAGTTCTGGAAAGACTGAGGCATCCAAGGAGACTGAACCATATGAATACGTAGAGGAAACTAAACCTGTGTTCGATAAGATTCTTGGATTCACACTTCCAGCGTACATGCTGACTACTTCTGAACACGAAGAGGAGTTTGATAAGATTATGTCAGGCAGAAAAATTTGAAAATAATATTTTATTTTTATTTTTGTATATCTTTTTGGTAGATTTGACGATGGTTGATCGCTTGTAGATAAAATAGAATCTAATTAATTCTAATAATTAGTTAGAATTAGAGTTCTTATTTGGAATTTCAAAGTTGAAAGCTGAAGATAATTATTAAATATTTTAATTGATAAAGAAAATAATTATATATATATATGTTTTAAATTATAAATTTAAATTTAAATTTAGTTTATAAGAGATGTAATAATAATACTGAATTGTTGTATGGTTTGTAATTAAAAATTCGTTATAATTAAGATATGATGAAATTGATTTCTATCTATTTATGTGGAATTGCGTTATAGTTATGCTCGATCGAACACGAAATTAGAAACTTGGTGTAACAAGTTTTTATGAGATATCTTTTTCCATATTTTCTATATGCATAGCATAAAAAAGAATGGCGAATTTCTTGTCGATGTTTTGCGAGAAGAAAGTGAAGATACGAGAATCTGTCGATGTTTTATTTCGTCGTGGATGGATGACTATGGATAAAGAAACATCGATGAAATGTAATAGTGAATCAGGAAGCATATTTTTTTTTCATCATTGGTTTATTCGTTAGGTGAGAAATTTCCCGCCGTTTTAACTGTTTCTATTATTTCTTTCAAGTAAATGGTTGGATAGCTACCCATCTAGAAAATCAATATTTCTTTTCCTACAATTTTATTCTTCAACCTTAAAACCACATAAATAGAATAACTAAAATCATAGAAAATATTTAATGATTCGAATATATATCTTTTAATTAAATTATTAAATTTTCAATATCGAAAATTTAAAGATTTTATTTAAAAAAAAAAAAGAGTTATGAAATATTTAATTGAAAAAAAAAGAAAAGAACTCAAATCATCCAAATTATTTCCACTCGAAACAATTCAACTGAAAGAAATCCTATTAAAAAATTTAATATTCCAATTTTTTTTCAATTTCAACTTACTATTTCAAACCACTATTAAATATTTAAATTATTTTTCAAGCCCAATTATTTTCTCTATCCTCCAAATGATTCCATCAATTCTATACAAATCTCTACTAAATCTCTTCTCCATACTTCAAACATACCTTCTACCAATTCTTTCTTAAAAAACTTCCTTCCTATTCCATTTCAATGCAAAAATTGCAAAGTCTAACAACAATAAAATCCTTGGATCCTCTAATCAAAATCAAAAACCATCCCTTTTCAACATCAATCACTCTCTCCATCCTTCAAATAACCTCTTACGCCAAATCTCGATTCATCCGCTCGCGTCACGACCTCTGGCGTCTCGCGCGGGCAAAGAGGAACGGCGACGAAATCCGGATCGCGGTCCACGATCCATGGATTTC